GCATAAAGTCTGGGAAGCAAGGTGCATCTCCTGAACTTAAACAATGCAATCAGCGGGTCTTTCAGGCCATCCTGACATGATATTATGATGCAAGCAAGCGGCTCCAACGTCAGACTCCATGTGGACTTGTCCTTGAAGGGCAGCTCCTGGAAGGGCGACCACCAGGACTGCACCACGTAGGCACCGTCCTCAAGCCGCAGCTCACGACGAGAGATGGCATCTGCAATGTTGTCTTTGGTCTGCAAGTGCAAGATGATGTAGTTGCTGCATTGAATGGCATCTTTGAATTGCTCGCCGGCAGCTCGGAGGTGCAACTTCACGGCCTTGTCGCCATCGGACGGGGCTCCACCCAGGCGCCGGACCCGATCCTTGCGTGTCAGGACCATGGCCTTCATGGGCGATTCCACAAAGCCAGACGGGAACTGTGTACATGTTCCACAAAGCGAGCGACCCTCTGCCAAGTCCGATCCATATTCTCTTTTGAACTCTCGGAAGTCGGCCATAGTGAGTGCGATATAGCCAACGGAAGCCCAGGCCATGGCACCAAGAATGTGAAATGATCCTTGTGACCTGAAGTGGGGGCCTGGAGTCCTGGGGTCCTGGAAGAATTGGCTTGAGAGGCCCAGATCCAACCTCATGCGTTTCTTCAAGCTGCAAAGGGTAGAGCTGCTGCTTCCAGGCATCCTGCCTTACCGCCAATACCAGGAAGATGCCGTCGATTTGCCTGGCGTGAGCCGATCACCCTTCAGACTCCACACAGCACCCTTCAAACGCCCCACCAATCCCAAAGCACGTTTGAAGGGTATTTTGCAGAGTTTGAAAGGTCAAAATGTATAACATCAGCTGCTGAACTCAGACACTGCAGAGCGGTTTTGCTACATGAGTCTCCAAAGACAGGCCTGCACCGGTTCAACAGGTAGCACTTTTGCAAGCCTGGACAGCTGATCTAGCAAGCAAGACACTGCAATCGAAGGGCTTGCGGGCAGCAACAAAGCTCTATGAAGCATCCGCCAGTGCACCGACATGTTAGTGGGTTTGCTTCTGCCGGCAAAAATCGTGCTTCCAATAAATCTGGTTCATCCGTCGTGCCTCGCAAGCTCCTGAGGACAAGGGCCGAGCTGGGCCGACGCAGAGCCTCGAGACCAGCAAACCGAAAAACATCGCAAAGGAACACTGTCGTCTTGGTGCCCAAACACACACATGTCAGATGCTCAAGGTCTCAGAGTGAGATGTGTCAGGATAATTTGAATGCAACTCGAACACACGGTTGCACCCAAAACGCAAAGGAGACTTTTGCAAACACCATCAAGCATCGGTCTGCTGTCGGAACATCAAAAAGTTCTGGGACACAAGCAGTACCAGCGGCGACCTTGNNCTTGAGACGGACCTGAGGGCCTGGGGACCTCATCAAAATTCGCTGCCTCTGTTCGTGCTCGCCCCGTGCCTGGGCTGGCCTCCGAAACTGCAGGTCCAGTTGGAAAGGTGCTCAGCCGGATTGGCTCTCGGACAGGGAAGCAAGCTGCCGCTGAAC